ACTGAAAAACGTTGATTAAAGGTACAAACAGTGTACATTTTCTGTTTCTACGGACTCTCGAGCTAAGGAAATAACTAAACTTTGGCGGCCATTTTATACTAATTTTACCTCTGAAACCAGGCGACCCCTACCTCCTTTAATCACAAATATCTCAACTTGTACTCAAGATAATTGGATATTTGCTTCCTCGAAAGCAAGACAAATGAGCAAGATTTAAGATGATACCAATAACTCTACATACCCCAAAATTGACAGAGCCTGATTCTACAGCGTCCTGATATTTAATATACATGCATCTGTGATTACTGTGGTAGCTGATCACACTTGTTGGAAGCAGAAACAAAGCAGCTGGTAAAACAAGATTTTAATAGATTATACGCATCTGCGGATCAGTTTTAAAGATGATTAAAGTAGGCCACTCTTTAAAAAATGTAAGGGAAATTCACTTCACATTGATGGCACAGCTGTAAAAAAAATCTCTACATCAAATTTTCAAAATTAGAATTAACTTGCCGGATCATTTAAACATTCATAGCACATTACCGTTATGTTACTGCAGTTTTGTAATCAATATAGGCTTCAACAGAAAGCCAGTGAAGATGTAAAAGCAACAATGGTATGTGTTCTCTAACAGACCTTTTGTGATCAACTCTCCCAACTTACTTCATGAGTTTTTGCAGTTTACCACACAACAAGAATACAAACAAACTGAAAGTCAAAGCAGTTGAGATTATCATTAGGCACAGGGAACTCCTAAAAGCTAAGCTGAGCTAGTACCATCCTCAACTGTGTCAAGGAAGAGAAACTTTCCACACTAACCCCAGATAAAATAACTAAGTACCATCCCTACAAAGTCAGGGAATCTTGAGAACTTTAACTGATCCTATTTGTGAGGCAGCGCGGTGGAATCAGGCTCTCGTCAAAATAATCAAAGTGAAGAAACGAGCCTTTTTCCACAGGTTTGTGCATTTTTATCAAATTATTGTTTTTTGGCTCAACTTTTGGCTCAACACCTTTCATACCCATTAAAGAACTCATTTCTGTGTGGATTTTTCAGAAAAACGTTGATTAAAGGAACAAAAAATGTAAATTTTCGGTTATCATGGACTCTTAAGCTAAGGAAATAACTTATCTTTGGCGGCCATTTTCTTAAGCTAAGGAAATAACTTATCTTTGGCGGCCATTTTCTCATTAATTTTACTTCTGAAAACAGGTGACCCCCACCTACTTCTTTCGCAAATACATGTATCTCGACTTGTATTCAAGATAAATGGATATTTTTTTCATCCAAATAAAGACAAGTGAACAAGCTTTACCAATAACTCTACATGCCCAAAAATTGACGAGAGCCTGTGTCTACCACGCTGCCTCACATTTGAGTTTTAAGTAATTACCATCACTAATTCCATCCTAACTGAGTCACAAACGGAAGAGAATTCCCTGATTTTGCATCTCGACACCTAAGGCAAAGGAGATTTTTAAAAAACAATATTTTTATCTATCAAAAAAGAGTTCAACAAACTCTGGCAAAGATTATGTTGTTGTACCTTAGGACCAGTCAGTACAATGAGTTAAAACAACAAACCTGACCATTTTTCCAAACACAATGTTGTCTGTCTGCTGCATCTTTATCCCAGCTGTGTCATTGAAGGCAGAGAGCTCCAGTTGGAAAGGTACAAGGATGCAATGTACAAAACGCCTATGACAAGATTCAGCCGAGCGACAGACTGTGGTAACGTTGTCAGGTTGCCACGACGAAATTCTTTTTCCAAACGAAAAGCAAAAAAGATGGAAGCAGCTGGGAGCAGGATCCAGGGCGAGAAATGAATCCCCACGGTGATAAAGAGGAGGTATGGGATGAACAGGAGAAAACAGAAGAGTGCGTACGAGCCCGATCTGCCTAATAGGATTGCCATGGTGATGGCCCCTGCTAGCTTGTCACCCTCCATGTCTCTGGTGTTGTTGCAGTGCAGAATGGCTTCAGTGTTCAGGGCCAGGGGGATTGCGTACATCAGCGGGACGAGAGACAGCTGCCCAGTCTGGCTGAGGTAGGAAAATACGACTGTCAACGGGCCAAAGGTCAAAACGATAAGGATGTCACCCATTGCAATGTACTTCAACCCCAAACCTCCAGTGTACAAAAAACTGCTGGATAAGCCGCAGAAGTATATTAGGGCTAGGTGCTCCATTTTGGCTTCCGAGAGAATGTTGACTATCACAAAACCGACACAGCCTGCTATATAGACGACCGCACCGAGCCTCACAACATCATTTGGCTGAAGAATGCTGTCAACCAGGGTGCGATCATCGCTTTTTTTCGTGTCCACTCCTCGAACAAAGTCAAAATAAGTGTTGACCAGATTACCTGCGGCATGCACACATAGAGCTGTGATCACTGTCATGAAAAATATGTATACACTGAAAACACCCAGGGCTTTATATGCTAAACAGCTCCCAAGAGCAACAGGGGTTATAGATGCTGGGAAAGACCATGGCCTCAGAGCTATAAGATAACCGGAAAACTGGGATCGCTGAGAAGGAGCTGACTTCACCTGGAAACCCTCCACACCAGAGTAACCTGCTGGTCCCTTGGCACTGTTCACTGAAGAGTTGTTTGCTGACAGATAAGCTTTCTCCATTGTGACTTCTTTCTCTTCAGATGAGACAAGGAATGTCTCCCCTGGCTTAGGCTGCCACTGAGGAGGCAGTTGAAACCCAGAATAAGGATATGGAACTTGAACTGCTTCCTGCGGAGACAATGGGAATGGCAGCCATTGTTCTGTCTGTGTGCACGCCTCCACGACTGGTACTTGTATTCTCACCTGTTTCAGAAGATACAATTTACAAAAAGAAAATAATATACATCCACTGACTTTTGGATGGGTCAAAAAATAAGGAACTGCTTACAGGCTTCCTAGGTAGGCCTCCCAACCATTTTGCATTGTAAAATCTAATTTTTAAATAGTACCGCACCCACCATCGCTGCACAGTAAAATTTATTTTTAAAATAGTACCAATTCCCAACTTTCTTTTTCTGTTTCATTAACAACCCAGTCTTAACCCAATCTGTACGCCCTGGGGTCATTATGTACCCCCGGGGTTGTACTCTTCACATTTTAGAATACTTCTAGGACAAAGGCCTCTTTGAAACTTTCAGTATTTCTCAAAAAATCATTTTGATTGACTGCTATGCAAAGCATACGGATCGGATTAAAGAGTAAATTTCCTCTTTGGAAAGTGGTAGCACAGAGTTCCCCATGTCGTATGGATACGATAGTAAAACATGACGTGCGGATAGGGTTAAACATTAAATTTTACCAGAGAGCAATAAAATATTATTCAATAACTTAAAAAAAAAAAAATTGTTAAAAGTATCTACACTTGAAAACTGGTTGATCAAAGAAATATAGACTATGGAAAACACATTTACCTTCACCTACCCCGTAACCCCCCCCCCCCCCCCCATTCACCTCCATCTCAAATACAAACTGGGCACATTGGACCCTATATGTAACTGCCTTGCTTTTAATTTTAATTGTCTGGTCTCAGTTATCTTTTTGCCATATTGTCTACATAAATAAGAGCGCATGATAAAAAAAGAGTAGAAATGCCCAAAAAGAAGAAACTGAAGTTGGGGGCCCCCAACTTTACATTAGATAAGATTCATTCCCACTCACAATTTTTTTCTAAAGATGGCCGACCCAAAAGGTAAAAGTAACTCTCCCCCCCACCCCCAATTCTTGAATTGAATTAAAAGTGTCTCTCATGCATGACATCGTAGCACTACAAAAGTGGCCCCAAGAGTGTGGACACCCAGGACGGGCATGCTATGTCAGGTAAGTTCCAAATGGAGGGCTTAAGTTTACTTTACTCATATCCCTTAAAAACAAATGCAGTAAAAAGTATCTTTGCAGACAGATCATATTTCACGAAGACCCACGGAAGTAAGAAAACACACACATCAACATACTCAAGTTTACCGTGCTTTTGCCTCTTTCATCCCTCAAAGGAAGTCAAGCAGAAAGTTTCAAAAACTTATCCAGCTTGCACCAGCATCTTTGGTGTAAGTGTAATAGTTCCCCTCTTCAGGCTTTTCTCCTCCCATAAAAGGGGGGCAATGTATTGAACTTGCAAGAGGGAAAGATTTTTATCAAATACCTTCATCTTTCTTCTGAAATCTCCATCAGCTTAGGTTGACCCTGACAGACATAGTTAGTGTCGTCTGCCTTTCAAAGATCTAAATTGTGCTGAGAGGGAGTAATACCCTTTCCATTCTACTACCATGAAGTATCGAGTGAATTCATCTAATTCGAGAAAAACAAAGTGAGTATTAAACCCCATAAATGCATGGCAACATTATTATCATGCACACATTCTAATTATGCAGATTACAAAGATCCTGTTCACAGAGCCGAAAAAAAACTGAAAATTGGTGAAAATCTAGCTTAAATTTATTTTTTAAAGCAGAGGTAAGTTTAAATATTTAGAGGATTAGAAACGCTCAAGTCAACAATCAACTCAACCAATAACAAGCTAGTCGGGCAAGGGATAACGTGGAAATGTTATAAATGCAATATTATGCTATCACTATTATTACTTTTATTGTTATTATATATTTAATAAAACTGTTACTTTAAGAGTAAGAGTTACCAACCTGTGGAGGTCTTGACTGTGGAACGTTTAGGAGAGAACTGTTGCAAGTTCCATTCTCCTTAATCTCTGACCTTTGGCTCTCATTCATAATTGTCTTTGATACAGCATGGCCTTCTCTTGCTCATAATTTTTTCTCTAGGAGGAAGGTCTAAAAACAAAAGCAATGGTATTACAATTTATACAAATCAGACGGAAAATCGTGAATTACTCATTGGGTCCATTTGAAGTCATACCAATACTGAAACTTTCTACTCATTTAAGACACGAACCAACATTTTATACCCCCAACACAGAATGCTAGACAGAAAGAGGTATCAAGATACTGGTTTCATCTTCGCCTCCTGTCAGAGTGGGGTAAAAAAAGTTAACATTATAAATTATGAAGAGCAACTTTCGAAAATACTCATTTCAACTGTCAGGTGAATTTAAGAATTTAAAAAAAAGAAAGATTTCAGTGGATGTTGTAACTACACCCAGACAACTTCAACAGAATGCACACTGACCAATTGTGTGTTGGAGTGGACAAATTAATGATTTTCTGATTTTTCTTCTCCCAGCTGAAAATAATACAGATGTAGAGGCAGCCATGTGCAAACAGCGACTGACTTAAGACATAAATGATTTCACCATTTCCCTGCCAGTTATGCCATTCACTGGGTCTGACAAGTTATGCCACAGTTATGCCATTCACTGGGTCTGACAAGTTATGCCACAGTTATGCCATTCACTGGGTCTGACAAGTTATGCCACAGTTATGCCATTCACTGGGTCTGACAAGTTATGCCACAGTTATGCCATTCACTGGGTCTGACAAGTTATGCCACAGTTATGCCATTCACTGGGTCTGACAAGTTATGCCACAGTTATGCCATTCACTGGGTCTGACAAGTTATGCCTCAGTTATGCTATTCACTGGGTCTGACAAGTTATGCCACAGTTATGCCATTCACTGGGTCTGACAAGTTATGCCACAGTTATGCCATTCACTGGGTCTGTCAAGTTATGCCACAGTTATGCCATTCACTGGGTCTGACAAGTTATGCCTCAGTTATGCCATTCACTGAGTCTGACAAGTTATGCCACAGTTATGCCATTCACTGGGTCTGACAAGTTATGCCACAGTTATGCCATTAACTGGGTCTGACAAGTTATGCCATTCACTGGGTCTGACTGATGCAATACCTATGTGAGGCAGCCTGGTGAAATCAGGCACTCACCAAAATAAGGATTAATATAATCACGGAACCAGCCATTTTTCTGGCTGTAGAGCAATGTTTAAAAAAAAGTTTTGCGGGTTCATCATTTAAGAACACAGTTCAGTGTGAATTTTACTGAAAAACACACATTGATCAAAGGCACAAAAATGTAAATTTGCAGTTTCCAAGGGCTCTCAAGCTTTGAAAGCCATCAAACTTTGGTGGCCCTTTACACACTAATTTTACCTCTGACACCAGGTTACCCTATCCCCTTTAAGCGCAAATATATAAATGTTTTTTTGCCAAATGCGAGACAAATGAGCAAGCTTTTTAAGATTATACTTTTAACTCCACATGCCCAAAAATTGACGAGCGCCTGATTCCACAGTCACTATGTCCTGATAATACTGTACTTAAACGACACTGCCTGACAACTGCTGTCACCAATGTAGCCTGTGAGTCGGCGTTGAAATACATAAAAAATCAATCTCCGCTAGTCCCTACACTTGGACTGTCATCTCCAGTTCAAATTGTCAAATTATGATAGTATGGCAGTGAAATACTGGGGAGTGTGTGTGTGTGTGTGTGAGTGTGAATGTCACCCCTTTCCCCAATTTTATATCGAAGTGACTATTTCTCCTAACGTTCTGAGAAATAGTGCCGATCTTTATTTCTCCGAACGGTTTCCGGCTTCCGGTCTCGTGATTTTTTGCCTATTTATTGCGAGAGCTCGGCGCCAACTTTCATTCTGCCTACTGCCTCTGGTCTGGGAAGGAACACCGCATGGCAAGCCCGCCTACAGACAACCTTCAGAAACACCCACCACGCACCCACCACCATCATGCACATGTACACACACAAACTTACACACACTAACTAAACATGATCAGTGGACAACTTTTGAACGTAAGACAAGCTGCGCTATGGATGGAGAGACAGTGCGAGGGAAAGAGCGGGTGAAAGGAAGAATGTACGAGTGTATCCACAGGCGACAGAAACTACAAGACGACGACATCGACCCCCCCTGGCCTGGTCCACAGCTCACGAACAAAAGGAATGCGGCTAAGGCAGTGTTTTGTCTATATTATTGTCCATGGTTCGCAGGGTGCAAGGGAATAGGTGAGATTTTCTTTGTGTGTGCTTGGAGGGAGGGGGTGGGATGTGAAAGTAATGCGGACGGGGATGAGCCGCGGGAGAGAACACGGGAGTTGAATGAGTGAGTGAAACTGAAAGAGAGGAACGACTCATGAGCCCTGGAGTGAAAGGATCCTGTGTTTCTATTTTTGTATACTTTGAACTGTTACTGAATAAAGGCTGAATTAAAGCCCGAAAAACAAACACACACACACTCCTCACTCTCCACTTACACACTTATTACCACACACACTCACACACGCACATGCATACACACACACACTCACACATGCATACACACACACACACAGGAGCAAATTTTTAGGTCTATATCAATTTCAATTTTCAAGAGTTAGTCTAGAGATTTTTAGATGAGTGTAAAAACGTGAAAAAGAAAGGTTTTACAACAGAATGAAATCAAAATTAGATAAAAGCCCATAAACAACCACAAACTTTAACAAATAAGGGCGCGTGTCCACCTGTCCGAAGAAGATTGGCTGTTTTAACCCTAAATGTGGGTAATTTTTTTTTAGAGTTCAGGATATTACATGTAAATTATGGAATCACACACACTAAGGGGCCTTCCAGTATCAGTACATGTAATCGATTTTGGTGGAACGTATGCTAGAACATATAACACATTTAAATCTATACATTTATATATATTTAGAAACTAATGTAGGTAGGAACATCAAATTAAATGACGTTACACTATACAACACCCCCCCCCCTCTTTTTTCCCCAACAAAAAAAATTGATAGAAAAACAACACATCAGAACAATAACAGGAAAAAAAAATATTACGCACTAACAAAATAAAACACCACAAAGAGGGAAAAATAAAAGTAACTGTAACGTATTCAACAAATCAACGTGGTGACAAGTGAGAAAGAGACGAAGTGAAGCTAAGTGAACTTTCTTTCAAGATTAAAGAGGTTCGGTTTCTTTCTTTTTTTATTATTTTTTTTTATTTGACTTTTATTCCCCCGATTCGGAGACTAAAAAATGCCAAAAAATCGAGCCACGATTGATTGGTCGCGGACGCGACAAACTCTGATGCTATTTCTATGTGTCGTTATCAATAACCCTCCGTAGATCTAGATCTAGACAGCTCACGAGTGAACACAACACATTAAGTTTAAGAGCAGCACCCTTCATAGGCAACACGTCATATCTGTAGCGAAAAACTGTTTGGAACTGTAGCATTTCTTTAATATTTACTGCGGACATTTTTTGACTGATTGAACCATATTTGTATACGAACAATCTTTGGTAGGTCTATACTATAATTATAGATCTATAATATCCTAAATTTACGGGAAAGGATGTGATTTCGAGTGTTCGGAGAAATAGTGCCCAGCTTTATTTTCCCAAACGTTTGGAGAAATAGTGCCCAGCTTTATTTTCCCGAACGTTCGGAGAAATAGTGCCGGCCATTATTTTATATTACAGAGTGGCTAGTCACCCAATTTCAGTCGAGTAGCCTGACGCTACTGGCCCGTGGGGATTTCTGCGCATGTTCCAGGCGAATGAATTCGGTCCATTAGCCCTGCCTAACCTGTGGCTTCTTGCCCGTCGGGATTTCTGCGTATGTTCCGTTTTCTGGCCCTTGAGGATTTCTCTATCTTTGTCTCTCTTTCTCTCTCTCTGTCACTGTCTCTCTGTCTGCAGCTGTCTCTCTTTCTGTCACTGTCTCCCTCTCTGTCTCTCTGTCTGCCGCTGTCTCTCTTTCTCTCTCTCTGTCACTGTCTCTCTCTGACTGTCACTGTGTCTCTCTCCCTCTGTCAGTGTCTCTCTTTCTCTCGTGCGTGAGAGACAGATGGTCAAGTTGGGTGTTGTGCATCGTGTGCAGTGTGTACCTCTGGCAGTCAGTTTGTTGTCGGTATGGCGCAGCAAATTTACTTTAGGACCGTACAACTCAGGCAGTCGGCGGTGAGAAGGCATGAATATTTGTAGGCCCAATAGGTTTTATATATATATATTGTTTAACCCTGGAAGCGCGCAGGCCCTTTATAAAGGGCGTGAGCCGGGCTACCCGGGAAGCGCGCATGCCCTATATATAAGGCTGACCTACTTCGACCGGGAAGCGCGCAGGACCTATATAAAGGGCATAGACGTTGACCCTTTTCAATGGAAAATTTCAGTGTTCCTTATATGGAAAATGACGTAGTCAATTACAGGCCAAAGTTATAAATAGTGACCAATGACGTTGCAAGTTATCTTGACCTCGTAGAGCGTCTCTTGGCCGAGATATCAATCGATAAAGTGACGCGGTCCCGCTGAGCGACTACACGCTATGTGTTATCACTTGTTTCGCCGTGCTGATGTACTAATTGTTGAGTCTATCGCGTTCTCGGCTTTGTTTGTATTTATTTGATCGCTGATCATTTTTGAATGGCTCATTCTATCAGCTTAAAGAAAATATATGCTTTTATATTTTATATGCTTTTTATCATCCATTGAGCCGTAAATGGTCATTTTTCAGTAGCAGGTATACATTTCGGGTATCTCAGCTGCTGTTTCCCCTCCGCCAAACCCCCATGTTTACAACTGATCGGCCGTGGTGGCGGGGCATGTTTGGCGGGTTACTTCCGGTGAAACGCTGAGCGCTTCTTGGGTTAAGCACTCCTTTTCGTACAATACTGATGAAAAATCCACATTCAAAATGCTTCTTCCCAGTCCTCGCAGAATGGCCGAACGAAAGATGATGCCAAAATCTCGCAAATAAACCGTTCGGAGAAATAGAGTCCAAGTTTATTTTCCCGAGCGTTCGGAGAAATAGTGAATAGTCACTTCATTTAAAATTAGGAAGAGGCTAGCCATACTTAATGACGACTAGACTGGCAGTCTAGCCGTACTTAAGTACGGCTAGACTCGCAGTCTAGCCGTACTTATTCTTAATATGATGGCTAGACTCACCATTTACAAAAAATAGGCCTACTGAATTATAAATATATACATTTTTAGTGTGCAGTACCTAAAGTATTTGTATTTGAGACGAAACCAGGTTCCTTAATGACAGTGCATGTATTTTAAACCTCCTGTTTTCTAATGTTAATAGGGCCTAAGATTTAGGGCCGTACTTAATATTGATGGCTGAATTGTAAATGAAATTTTTAGTTTGCAATGCCTAAAGTATTTGTATTTCAGACAAAACCAAAAGGTGCCTTACTGACATGCATGTATTTGAACCTGAATAATTGCTAGATCTAGATCTGAGACCTGTGTACTTAACAGGCTTGAGTCGATAGGGCCAAACCTAGATCTAAGTAGGGCTAGACTGGCAGTCTAGCCGTACTTAAGTACGGCTAGCCACTTTGTTAAAATTAAGGCCTTCGTTAAAATAATCATAATGTCCACATCTTAGCCTGAAAGATCTATATCTCAATAATGACTAAAACATCCGTCAAGAGTGAAGACTTACAATGTGAGCTTGGCTTCTTTGTTGGAGTTCTCTGCTTCGACGGCTTTGGCTTTGTCTTTGTTTGTGGGCTTGGTTGGTGGTCTTCTTGGCTTGGATTTTAGGCCTTTTGACTTTGGAAGACCTCAGAAGATAATGTGTAGATTAGATCTATTCTAGATCTAGCAAATATCCTTTCTCAGATTCACGAACAAGTGTTACTACACTGAAGACAAAAGTGAATATCATTTACCTAGATTTAAGTCACGCCAGCTGACTCAATACAGGAATTGAATGGGCGACTTTCACAACGTGAACTGCGTCACTGTGGACCTTGATGTAAGCTACTTTCACTTTTGCATCAACTTCCGTTTCATAAGCCAACAATTTATGCCAGGTATTTCCAGTGTTGCGGTTCTACTTTGTCCAGGCCCAAGTCTTCCTATCTTATACCATTTTTTTTTTCAGTCTGTCAGTTTAATGCAATTCAAGTGCAAATTGCAAAACTTAATTTTTGGTTTTGGTTATAAGTATAATATTTATTATAAGGCTTGAGGTATGAAATTGGCCTAGTCAGGATAACGACCTCTGCCAAGTTGGTTGAAGGCGACGGATATCTGACAGTTGGGCTCTCTCTCTCTCTCTCTCTCTCTCTCTCTCTCTCTCTCTCTCTCCGTGTGTGTGTGTGTGTGTGTGTGTGTGTGTTGAACTAGGATGCGACCCCCCCCCTCTCCTAGAGGACGTGTTATTCAGGGAAATTTTATGTCGATTTGCATAGCCAAAGTCTGATCTGAG